CCAGCCAGAGCAGCAGAGGGGCAGGGTGCAGGGAAACTCAGGGCTTCCCTGGGGGCTGGAACCACAAACTCCCTCTCTCCCTTAGAAATGACCAAGGGAGAGCAGAAAGGCAGAACTGCAGGCAATGCAGCAGGAACCCCCAGGCAAGGGAGCTGTTTTACCCACGCAAACTTGCAGAGCCATCTTTATATATCTTTATTGCACACGTCTATTCTTACATATCTCATGGGATGAGGCCAACTTCCCTTCCCAGAACAAACTATTTCTACTTAATTCTGCCAAATCCATCTGTTCCCAAGACAACTTTTGTTACTGCCTAACACAGATATTTTGGAAGGGTAAATCTTCCCCTTGTCCTCTTACCTCCCCCCGCTCCGGCTGCTGGATCACTGAGAACATCCCCTGGGTGGTGCTCCAGTCACTAAAAGGGATTTTTCCCTCCCAGCAAAGCCTGTGAGTTGCCCACATCATCCCTGCACAGCTGAGCTGGACCACAACACCTTTGCAAAGCCCCCCAAAACCTTGCCCCTCTCCCAGCACCTCCTAAAGCCATCCCCCTGGCACAGGAGCCTCTCCAGCACCCATATTTTATTTTCAGGCTTCCTGGCAACAACCTCCTTGGTGTTTATAAGTGGCATCTCCAGTGAGAAGGCTGGGGATGAGCTAATTAGTGGGTGAGTGTCTGGAAGGGCAGCAAAGCACCAGGCACCCTGGGCTCTGTTTGCTTTGGGTGCCCAACACAGGACGACAGATCCCAGCAGGGTCTGAGCACACATTTGCTTTGTAAAGCCTGGAAAACATTTGTCCTGACTCGTCGTTTGGGGGGGGGGAAAAAAGACTATAATTTATTCAGAAGCCTGATTTGCCATTGGTGTGGCATAAATGTGTGTGTGTGCACAGCTCTATTTTTAGAGCAGCACGGCCAGGGTGCTGGCTCCACAGTTACTCCATTGACAAACAGGATGAGCTCTTCTCTGAGCTGGGAGGTTTTCAGTCCTCCCCCTTATTGTAAACATTATCTGCCTTCAAACTCCTTAATGTGTTGCAGATGTGACAAACAATAAAAGACCTATCATTAAAAAAAGCCTGCCATCTCAGTGTTTCCCACTGGGGCAACATAATAATGAATTTATTAGCATATAGTGCTCACCAACATATGTTTATAGTCACTCACAAACTTTTGACTTGACAGTTTACAAGTATGTTTAAATCATTAAAGTTTAAGTTGACTGTCCAGTTATTACAGGCTCATTATAAATAGGAAACAAAGGTTACATTTTATACAACAGGCAATAAATCAAAACTACTCTGTATTTGAGATTGGCTTTTTTTTTTTTTTTTCCCCTTTTTAGTTTTTGTCTCCACGTTTTCAAGACCTTCTGAGGGGACATGTCAGTGAGGCCAGCACTGAGCAGCTGCTTGCAGTTAGGTAGCAGCACCAGCAGCACCCACAACAGCAAGCAGGAGAAACTCCAACCTCATCCAAGAGATGCAAAGACCTTGGAGCTGGCAAACTCTGCCAGTGTTTTCACTCAAGCAACAGGCAAACCCAGCACTAGGTCCAGGCACTCAGCTCTCCTCCTCCTCCAGTCCTTCTGTAGGGTTTGGGAAACCCTCCTGTAGGGTGAAGTTCTGCCACCACAGGGCAAAGAAATTTCCTCCTAAGCTGAACAAAGGCTCTAAGAAAAGGAAAGCCAAACACCCAAGCTTTGTGTTCCCTGGCTGCCAACCTCTGAGGGCTGACAGAGGCACTTAGACACCCTCAGAAGGGGGTTTGGGTTTGAACCCACTGCT